CAAGTAGATGAATAAGACAATAAATTACTACCTATTATGATATTCTAACTCATCATGATGCCAAATAATAATATAAATATCAAAGGTATAATTTAGCCAAAGGTAAATTGTACATCTTTGTTTTAAAATAATTTTTCATTTTTTTAGTGACCAGTTAAAAATGTTTTATAATTTAGGTAGTAATTAGTTCATGTAACATGTTTAAACACCAGTATTTATGCTTCAATCTTGTTCAAAGTACTTCCCAGAATTCTGAATGTCATTGTTTATGTAGCCAGAGATAATATGCATAAGGCACATTGGGATAAACAAGGAGATTCTGCCCAGCTACTGTGGATTTTGGCTCAAAATTTGTTAGCAGCAGGCAACAAATTCCTATGAGTCAAAGTAAGTGTTAGTTAAATGAAACAGAACCTTTGTTCCTCACTAGTAACTTAATTTACAGATTAGCAAGATTCACCAATATTGGATCAATTTTAAATGCTATTTTGAGACTATGGATGATACACATGGTATATTTAACTTAATTATTCCAAAGCCTGCCCTCTTTCATTATATTTACCTTGCAAAACTCCCCAAGGGTAGTGACGGCCTCTCACCATTCTTTTTCCAACTTTCACCTCATCCATACTCCCGACTACAGCAAAGGGTAACAGTCCCTAGAAAATAAGAATGACATGAATTGAATTCCCTAATACAATTATAGCTTACTATGTTACTCTTATTCCTGTTATAAAAATAACAGAGGGGAAAATATTATATTAAATTTAATCTGACAGGGATCCACCCTGCATAGATTTTAGAACTTGGCAGTAAATATGTGCTAATTAATTTCTGTAAGCATTAGTCTCAGGCTGGGCACACAATTGAAAACTATCTACTGAGAATAGCCTAAAGCAAGGCATCCAGCTGTGAAGAATACAAAGAAAAAAGATTTTTAGTAGACATATTATTTTCTTCACACTATTTTTACCCTGAAATATCTTTACGCTGACAATGTTGACGAAATGGTATATAAATCACTTTTGCTCTAGTATAAAAATTAAAAGACAGAAGTATTAAAAATAACTAAAACTATAATAGTTAGTTAATGGATAC